AGACAATATTTTCCTTACAGAATATATTTAGAGGAGAGACAAAGCTGTAAAGGACAGAGAAAGGTTGTCCCATTAATCATTGCACTACCTGAGGGGATTATAAATAGCATCTTTAAATGGAATATAAATCATCTCAATTTTCTTACTTTGTAGACAGATGGAAATGACTTTAGATTCCTGATTTCTATGAACTCTGATTCTGTTTTATGTTCCCAAGAGTCTTTAGATAAAATTCACATCTTCAAATTTCTCTCTACATCCCTCTCCTCCAATCTTGTGATTTTCCTACCACCAGACAGGGTCTCCAATTTGGGGACTCATACATATCTTAAGTTTGATTCCACTGACACAGATCCTGGATGGGCAGGCTTCATGTATTCTTTCTATCTCAGGGTCCCTGCCTGCAGCAATTTCTTGAATATGGTCCAGCCGGAGACCTTCAGGACCAATTTGATTTCCCAGATTTCTTACTTTTCATTTAACCTTAAATCATGCCTAAAAGGAACATAAAATATACCAGTTGCCTTTTCACATATTGAAAATTGGGTCATGAAGAATAGTTTTATAGGAAGTCATTAATAGGACCAAGGCCTGAGAATCAATTTTCCAGTGGGGATGAAAGGTCATAAATGCCATCGATTGCAGAGTCCCATGTGAGATGAGATAAGAATTCCCATGGGGTCCTGTCAATCTGTACCATGAACACCAGGGTTGCTCCAAAGGCAAGCGCTACTTTGTTTTGCCTGGGAGCAGCCTTGAGAAAGACTTGCTGTTCAAATCCTTGATGAATCTGGCACAGCAGTACAATAGTAGGCTCATTTAAGTATCAAGTGATAGCTTCAATGGGGCAACATAAAAGAGATTTTTATACAGAAAAGAAATAGACACAAACAGCAGGGAAAATGAGATTTGCAATAAGTTTAGCAAGAATGGTTTTAGCTGGGAAAGAAATGAATAGACGGTCTCCTAATGAAAAGGGCAAAATTTGGAGCATCACAGCACAAAACTGGGCACACATTTAGTTGGGACCTAACCAGACACTCAAGTGGAGTAAAATGATCTGAGGATCAATCAATGATGAAAGTAAAATAACATCATGTCCAGTAATTAGAAACAATAACTCAGGAAATGAGAGAGAATTCTCAGAGATAAATTATTTGTATTAATGCAAGTCTATTAGTCAATCTCTTCTGAAATAAAGAGGAACATGTAGCTGAATTTATTTTAAAGCATTCTAAGAAAGTATACTTACTTAGTAAATTTTGTTGTTATACCCTGTAATGAATCCTACTTGCAAAGACAGAAAAAGAGGAATAAGTTCAGGATGCCCTTGGACTTCCACAAAAAACGTTGGGTAAGAGAAGAAGGAATTAGAAAGGTCCTAGCAAAGGGTGCCCATCACTTGTGCCAATCCTGAGCTATAAATTGCAGAAGCTCTACCATTTTGTAATGTGAACTCTGTGTTTGTGTTACTGATTAAAATCTATCCACTTGGCCTCTTTTTAAAAGACTTGCACACATTTGAACACACCTTTGAGACTCCAGATTGGATTTATGCACCACTTTCTATTTTGGGTAACCACAAAGGTACTGGAAATTTCAAGTAGCAACAAACACCTCGACCTACAAACATAAGAACATGAGCTAATGAAGACGGGATTTCCAGGTTGCAGAGCTTGCATAGACTGGGGGCTCCAATTATTCTTTGGGGTGTTTGACTTGTTGATCAAGACTGGGTTAGGTCATCTTTTTGCACTGTTTTTACTATTTCAGTTAATATAATACCGCTCTTTTTTTAACCATAAAAAAAATCAGCTTAAGGTCTATTTTTGAAGCTACTTGTGTGCTGCCTTCCTATGACTAAAAGATAGTTTTTTTTTCCCCCCCAGAGGAAATGAGATGCCTTCCTTGTACTTCTGACCAGCCCTGTGGAGAACATTCTCTTTCAATCCAGATCATTTTGAATTAACTACAAAGGTACTCAGAGCCTTCAGCTTCCATTCAAGAGTTATTAAAAACTGTCATAATAATTTCACTATTTATCAAAGTACAATTTTACAAATAATTTATGAATTACATTTATAATGGTAGTTGATATGTCATACAATCACATATCTCAGGATATATTATATGCTATTTATTAAATAGTACAAGATATCACAAATGATAATTTATAAATATAAGAAATATAATGCTATCTTATAGAAATATAATTTCTATAAGAAATAATAGAAATTTACACTCCCATAATTTGAGCCCACATTCTCTTCTATTTTCACTTTTGAAAGGATAAATTGGTGTTGTGTCTTCAGAATATATTTGTTTCTTTTAATAAATTCATTCAAGAGAGAAATCATAACACATGTTGATATTTACTGCAATATTTTATTAAGGTCCTCTCTCAAGAGTTAAATTCATTTAAAAAAATGAGGAAAGACTGTTATGTAATTTTGCTTCTGTACTTGCTTCTTGACCATGTTCTTTCTTTCTTAGTGCACTTAGAAATTAGTTTTGACACTGAAATTTCTTCCTACACATTAAATACACAAAACTTGCATTGCTTCCAAGTCAAAGTGAGAAATGCCTGCATTTACCATTTCTGTATTGTTGCAAAATAGTATAGCTACCTTACTTAAAAGGTTTATGGATGGTCTTTGTTAATTTACGAGCTGAGAAAACATCTCTAATTTCACAACTTTCAAGGTGGCAGGAGATTGGCAGTCTCATTTCTGATTACACTTATCTCCATTCACTGCTTCAGTGGTTTTGCTAACTTTGTCCTGAGAGAAACCAGCTCTTCGGTTAAGATATGAAACACAAAAATAATGGGGGAAGTAAAACAGCCTATTAACACATACTGATTCCTGTCCACACTCACACACAAAGACATATTATAACTAAAACCTTCCTAGTTCTTACTTACACGATAACTACTGCAGCTCTACAAGTAAAATAGATGTATCTTTACCATATCATCTGTTGGATGTGTTCTAATAGCTTTCCCCAAATGGATAAGAGCTATAAACTTCTGGGATTATTACAAGATATCTCAGTCAGTGGGTAACTCTCAAATTGGAACTTTTCTACGTGAGAAGAGCCAGGAAATCTGTGGACTCCAATCTTTTCATTTATTTGTTTAGCCATTCACATAGCATTTTTCATGTTAAGAATGTTAACATCCCTATTTACACAACAGACCCTTGGCATGATGGAAAGCATCTCCCAATTCTCATAGGACAACTCTAAAATATGTTTATCACTAAACAAAGACTACATTAATTTAGATCACGACTCAAGATTCTCTGCTCACATTTCCCTGAAATGAGCCATGTTTGTACCTTGACATTGACTCTGTGCTATTGAAATTGGTTTCTTCTTCCACATCATGGAAATGGGAATAGGGCTGATTTGGTTATAAATATTCCATAGTGTCTATCCTCTGAAAAATTTGAACACTGAGTTGAAAACCCTGAATAAGAGAGAAGTCATAAAAAGATATCAATGTGTTTTGAAGAACATAACTATATAATGATACATTTTTCATAAGGAACTTTAAAAATTTGTCTAAGTACTAATTCCAGGAAACATTCTAATTTTCAATGCAACTTAAAAGTTACATCTGTTTGAATTAAAATGATCAAGCTTTCACCACATGCCATATCTTCTTATCTTCTATTAGTATGCATAAATTCATTGCCTGCATAACAACAAAGTGTGGGAATACATTTTACTAATCTAATCAGTTTTTTAGGAAAATACTTGTTCACATTTTGTATGATCATGTGTTTTGTTTAGACACACTCATACCTTATGAATTGGGCGACAAAGTCTCAGATGCGAAGTCTAAATAGACCTTGGCAATGTATAAGCTCCAAGAGGGCAAGAACTTCTATCTATCCACCCAATATGGTGACTAACTCATAGAAAAAGCTTACCTTCTACATTTGAAAAGTTCATGAGGGGTAATAATGAACTAAGCCAACCAAGGTAAAACTGGCCATGTTACATGTCATGAACAGCGAATGTCTCATGAAGAAACTTTTGATTTGCTTTTTCTTATTTCATTTTATAATATTATTATTACTTTTGTTTGGCACTAAGAATTGAACCTGGAGTCTTTTGTGTACCAAGCAAACACTGCCCTAGACCCCTTTTCTTATTTTAAACGTCATGGATGAAGCCTTTAACCTAGCATCTGTGAAATAGAATTTATCATAAAAATAGTGTTCATACATGTTTATCATACTAAATACTCCTTTAGAAATGTGGAAAAAAATTAAGTTTTTTTTTTTATCCCAAAACACACATTCTCAGTTTGACCATTTTCTTCTTTAGATCACAGTGTTGTAGTCAACAAAGAGAAATTGTTTGACGTGTACATAGCCACAAGGCTCTTGATTCTTTTTGAACTCCAGTTGAACCGTATTTGGTTCCAAAGTAGAGCTAATTATTTTTAATCTGGAGGTAAAACCACCACCGCCAGTACACAGGCCCACTGATACTGAGCCCAGAACATGCAGCTGGTGACCAGCATTCCCAGGGTACATTTTCTAAATAATCTCCCAAATTAAAGTGCATGCCATTTTAAAAATAAAAGGAAATTGATTAAAAAAATTATATTCAGAGGGCTTAAATCTTTTTCTATTGCCCAGCCTTGTAACATTATACATAGAAGACTGAACATGATTAGAGCTCCATAAACTTCCTTTGATCACTATTTAGATGCACCTCCTGAATTTGAAAATTTCAACACTTTGAGGAGAGTTAGAAAATATAGGCAAACAAAAGAAAGAAAGCAAAAACCACTCACAATCTCATTTAAAAAAAATTAATCATTGACCTTCTAGATTTTTCCCCTTCCTCTTTTTATCATTGTGCTATTTCTGGTCTTTATAAAGGAATTTGGTGTTCCTTTCTACATGAATGTTTCCATAGAGCCCACAAGCAAAACTGTAGAGAGGATGATAAAGTGAGAATTATAACATTTTCTTTAGGCTGACCTGCAGTTCCCATGAGCAGGAGGTTTAGGAAAATGTTGAGAACACAGGGTTTAGAATCTGGCAGATCTGTTGGAATCCTACTTTCTCCACATGCGTGACCTTGTGCAAGTTGTTTAACTTCTCTGAGTCTGTTTCCTTTTCTGTAAAATGAGAATAATACCCTCATCGGAGTGTTTTTGTGAATAGTCAATGAGAGGTATTTAAAGAATTTGGCATGCTGCCTGACACAGTATGCATTGAATGAATAGTAGCCATTATTATTGTTTGTAAGAATACTTACTGTTATTTTACATTCCTAACTAACCTTGTAGATCACAAAGCTCTGATACCCTATGTCATCAGGCCTAATTTTAGATCAGCCCAAGAAAAACATAATTAAGTACATAAATCTAATTAAAAATGTGCATAGGAAGCATTCTTAAGTAAGTTCTTTAGGATTGTAGGGATGGAGTCTCTCTTCTCATAGTTGATGGCAACTCTCAGAAACAGCAATCTGCTTTTTATCATCTTTGAGTATTGAAGAATGTTCAAATTTTGAACATAATCTAATCCATACATATTTGATACATTTTTTGCACTGAAAGATTGGTTGGCCTTAATGCAATATAATCCATTTGGGACCAAAAGATTGAGAACTGTGTTGATACAGTCTTATGGACATTTCCAAGAGTTTTAAGTTAGACTATAACAATTTAAAAATGAGGTGAGCATTGAAAGCCTGGTGAGTTTTAACAGTAATCATCTTTTTATTAAATTATTTTTCTATTCTGAAAATGTATTTTTATTTATTTTATGTATTTATTGTTGTTGTTCTGGGCCCTGTCAAGCTTTATTATATGGAGACCGCTGAGATATCCCTATTGTACTTTAATATCAGGAGATATTTATTGATGATATTAGTTATTGCCTATGAAGAGTCAGTTGTGGCTGGGCACGGTGGCACACACTTATAATCCCAGTGGCTCAGGAGGTTGAGGCAGGAGGATTGCAGGTTCAAAGCCAGCTTTAGCAACTTAGTGAGACTCGAAGCAATTTGGGGAGACCCTGTCTTGAAATAAAATGTAAAAAGGACTGTGGATGCCTTGGGTTCAATTGTTGGTACCAAAACAAACCAACAAACACACACCATTTTGTATCAGGAATTACAGTGTGTACTTTGCATGAATTACTCCATATAATATCACTAATGGTCTTTTGATGTAGGTATAATATCTTCATTTTCCAGATACCAAATGATAGGTTTTAGGACACTATTCCAACATATGGCATGGTGGTATTTGAGAAAATAGCAGAAGCAGGTGGGTCTGATCCCCTGCTCTTCTCCCCTGAAGATAAAAGAAACTTCTAACCTTTCTCTGAAGTAGGTCATAGACTCTCATGTGAGAGGCACCCACCCTGTACCTGGAGGAAAGAAGACCCAGGAATACAGAGAAGAATCTGAACCAACAGGCCTTGTTAAGTCCCTGCAGTTTGTTACCGAAGCTCAGACCCTCTTTGTCAGTGGGACCCTCCACAATAATCAACTTCTTCATCAAACTTAGAATAAAATACACGTTTCCTGGTTCGTTTGGGTCTTCATTTCTTTCTGAAGTTCCATGTCATTTAAAACTTATATGAAATAAATCTGCATTTTTTTCTTGTTATTCTGCCACTTGTTATATAGGGGCCTTAGCTAGGAATTTCCCAGTACATGAAGAAAGAGATCTTTTCTCCCCTACACAAACCTGTCACTTGGAAGTCACTAAGTCACATGCTTTCACAGGCCAACTCAATGGCTGGATTTTAGTTTACCGTTCCACCGTCTCTAGATCAGCTCATTCTCTCCTTTCTTGGAAAATACAGAATTGAAGGAATCTTGTCCTTGACAAGGTGCAAATTAGTTATGGGATATAAAGATGTTAAAAAGCACTAAATTTTTTTTTTGACAGAAAAAAAATTGCTGTTTTCTGACTTTTAAAACTAGGCCATCAAGGACAGATGACACAAATTTCTTCACTAAGTACAATGAGTGAAACTTCCAACTATGGTTTGGATTTTTAAAATAACCACATAAAGAAATGACATTAGGCTGGCAGGAGAGGGTAGGGGAAGGAGAGGGAAGGGGCAGATGGAGGAGAGGAAGAAAGGAAACAGGAGGGTAGAGGACACAGTAACATTCATGAATATTTGGGGCCATTGGTGCTTGGACCTAGTCCATGAGTCAGTTCCCTATTTTCATATATACGACAAGGAAAGTCTGAAACTCAACGTTAGGTCTGCATTTTTAAGATAAATGCATTTCATTTGTAAGGTGTTCTGTTCACAATAAACCAAACACACAAAAATTCAATAACATGTCTTCAAGTACTGGCCTGGGAACTGCAAAGGCTCAGCTATCCCAACCCCTCTAACTATTCTACTTATCTCAGAGAATTCCAGGCTGTGTAGATGTGCAGCTGTGATTCTCTCTTATCATGACAAGGTGTGGGAAAATAGGGTTTTCTGGAAATAGGATGGTAATGAGGAATTGTCAGGTTCCCCACCAGGTTAGGGGCTCCCCACTAGGTACCTTGACCTGGTACAGAGGTTAGATGATGGTGTCCTGGCCTGACTGAGGTTCAACCTGTGGAATGGTATAGCAGGACTTGCCCAGCCTAAATGTACCATCTTGGGGAGAAGCTGCTTTTTTCTTCAGCCAGAAAGAGTGGCTGCCAGCAGAGATACTCCACAGTAGCTCAAAATCACTCTTCATCTCATTAAATAAATTGAGTTTGATTTACCAAGGCAAGAGTGTCCATATACAAAACATAAAAGCACAAGGGATATATGCAAGATTGGCTTTGACAGCGTGTAATTTGAGCACTTGCAGCTGACACTGTGCTTTGAAGGGCCAGGTACTCAGTTTAATATTCTGCTGTCATCATCCCCAAAATGATTAATAATAATTTTTGAACAAAGGGCATTTTCATCTTACACTTGGCCATGCAAGGTACACAGCAGATCCCGGTTGTGTAAAACTTCAGCACCAATGAACAAAGTCTCCATATGTTTTGGAGACTCTGCCCTCATACTCTATATCAGTAAAAGATGGAAGATAAAGTCCAGGGGCAGTTTTGGTATCGTTCTTCCCTTCTCTTTTGCTATGGGTACACACTCTCTTTATTGCCTCTACATGTACCCTATTTGATCTATATTTTCAGAAAAAAAAATTTTATTCTGACTACTCTCCAATAGATATCTGCCCAGGCTTTGACAGTCTAGACAATGTTGTGGAACATAGTGGCCACCAGTCAAACATGGCTACTGAACACTTGAAAGGTGCCAGGCTTGAATTAAGATGCACCACACATGTAAAAAGCACATTCTATATGAAAAAAATAATGTAAAATCAGTCATTACTATTTTCATACTAATTTCTTATTGAAAAAATAATATTTTGACCTATTGGGTAAACAGGTTGTAAAAATTGATGTCATATCTTTTTTTTACCTCTTTAATATGACTACTATAAAATTTAAAACCATATATGTGGCTTCTGTCAACTGTTCAAATTATACTTTTACTGGTCCAGACCATGTTTTAAAACCATGATTCCACCTGTTGGCTACTAACTTCTCCATCTCAAAAGTCTTAGATCTATTTCATTACCTTCTTTCCCACACATCCATATCTTATTTTTCCAAGACAGAAACCTGGAAATTAAGCTATTCTTTTGCTCCCACTCCCAAATGTCTACTAAGTACTATTGATTCTACCTTTTCATGATTTCTCCTCCTCCTAATTTCTCTCCAGACTTCTCGTCCTGTGCTTGCTCAGGTTTTTCCTGATTCTCCCTGGATGATGTAATTATCCTCCAATGAGCAGTCATTTAATTCAGTCTAGCCCACTGGTCTTTAATCAGAGTGGCTGTTTAATAATGACTTTCTTCAAGAATACAAGTAACAATAAATGTTGGCAAGGATGTGGGGGAAAAGGTTCACTCATACATTGCTGGTGGGACTACAAATTGGTGCAATCACTCTGGAAAGCAGTATGGAGATTGCTCAGAAAACCAGGAATGGAATCACCATTTGACCCAGTTATCCCTTTCCACAGTATATACACAAAGGACTTAAAATCGGTGTACTATAGTGATGCAGCCACATCAATGTTTATAGCAGCTCAATTCACAATAGCTAAGCTATAGAACCAACCTAGGTGTCCTTCAACAGATGAATGGATAAAAATATGTAGTAAGTATACACAATGGAATATTACTCAGCCACAAAGAAAAATGAAATTAGGGCATTTGCAGATAAATAAATGGCACTGGAGCACCTTCCAGGACAATACTCACATCCACAGTGATACCAACTTAGCAGTTCATTCACAAGAACAACAGTAAATTGCCCTTAGATTTATCTTACATCTGTGCATTCTATTAATATATTTCTATTAATGATACACCATACTGAAATAGAATCACCTATTTCTAGGGCTATTTGTCAGTCACTGTCTGAGATACATTCCACACACCCAGAAGAGCCACTCACTGAGAGCAGATCTGGACTGAATCAATCCCTCCCTCTTCTCCCTGCCCATCACTGTTGTGCATGCCTAAGTTCTTCTCTTGCCTGAGATATTGAAACTGTTTTTCGGAAGCTTTTCCTGGGTCTAATAGAACTCTAGAGAAGCCCAGGAACCTAGTCCTGGACACTGAGTTAGCAATTAGAGGGCTGGGAATGAATTTCAAATTCGAGTGACTGCAAAAATGCTTTGTATTCTACCAGGCCTAGTTCTCATTATTGTTCCTACATTCCAGACACCTCTCTTCCCCCAAAATGCCAATGTTCTTTACTTCCCTGCTCACCTGGACATGGGGTTCTGTCCATCAAAACCCTCTGCCTTTGCCTTGCACGTGGCTCAAGTAGTCCAGGCAGGGTCAGCCGCACACTGCTCCCTGGCTTCCCTCTGAGTGCTTGCTCACCCTCTGTCTTGGTGGCTTGTGATGCTACCTCCCCTCTCTTGTCCTTGAGACTATGAATAATTCCCAAGAGCTATAACTCTGACAAGTCTCCCCTGAACTCACATAGCCAGGGAAATTAGAGGCACACGATGCTTGCCTTCCAAAGAACTCACTTCTGTGATAAGAATGACAGTAATACTTGCTAACAAGTCTGCT